CCAACATGCTGGCTGGGGAATTTTGGGAGTTGAAGTCCACGCATCTTCAAGTTGCCAAGGTTGAGAAACACTGGTGTAGAGGTTAAGGCACCAGGCTAAAAACCAGGAACTGTGAGTTCTAGTCCTGCCTTAGGCAAGAAGCCAGCTGGGTGACCTTGGGCCAGTCACCCTTTCTCAGCCCTAGGAAGCAGGCAATGGCAACCCCCTTCCAAAACCCCTTGCCAAGAAAACTGCAGGGACTGGTCCAAGCAGTTGCCAGGAGTCAACACCGACTTGAAGGGACCCCCCCCCCCCAAAAATGGAGGGAAGGGTGTTTGTTATCCACAGATATGCATTAATATATTAAATGCATCATTGTGGCAATTTGCAACATTTGCCTACTCACTTCATTATGCAAATGATGCAAATCACATTGTTTGTGTCAATTTACTTCATTGGTATGACAGTGTCATTACTTTGTTTGTGCAGGGATGTCATTAGCTCAGTGACATCAAAAGCTGCAGAAATACGGTCAATTGCCTGCAAAATCCATCATATCGAGTTGATAAATCAGGGTTTGACCATATAAGAATGTGCTGCAGAAGTCAATGTAACGTTCAGTTTTAATTCAGCTTTTATTGGTTGAATCGGGTTTTTGCTGGCCTGGCCCATCAAAGCCCATACAAGGCCTTTGATCTTTCTCTCTCCCCAGGATTGTAGCTTTCATCATTCATGCATTCATGCTCTAATCACCTTGAGGTTAGACTGCTGTAATGAGCTATCTCTGGGTCTGCCTTTGGAGACTATTCAGATAATGCAGCTAGAACATCATGTGGCTGCTTTACAACCAACTAGAATTGAGTTTTGGATCATAGCCAACACAGACAAAGGTGGGGAAGAGGACCAGGACTGTGGCTGATGGGTTTCTTGGGGTAGACTATTTCCCTCCTGTATCTTGACCAGAATCCACACTGTGCCACGGACAATTTCCAAAGATTGGAGGTTCTCATGGGTGAAGCTCATCCATGCAGATGTTCTACCCCACCTCTTTTTCTGGACGTCTTCATAATCTCACCGTTTAGTTTTTAAAGAAAACTAGTCTCACTGCCTCTATGATGAACTGCAGTGCAAGTTGCACGGGCTCCAAATTATGGCCTTGGAGCATGTGAAGGAACATGTGCCTCTTCCCATGCCCAGAGGTCATGCCTGTGAGCAAGCGTAGAGTGCCTTTTCCTCTTTTTGTCAAGCAATCATGTCAATAATGGGGAGGAGGCATTGCAAAATGTGTCTCCTTGCGAAATGAGTTGTTCTCACCAGCTCACCCTTTTCAGCCTGGAAAAGGTGGCATGATAGAAACGAACATTGTGGCTATTCTAGGCAGATGTTTTGCTTGTTGAACAAATGCCACACTGATGTCATGATCCTAGTAGATGTCCTTTCCAGGACTGATGGCTTTTTCTCCTCCTCTCTACCTCCTGGCTCAATGTCTCCCGGTTCCTGTTTCTCCAGGGCTTGTTCCGGGGAGCTGGGAAACTACTCAAATCCAAAGCACTCATGATCACCTATGGGGTAAGTGTTTCCTCAGGGATGCAAAAAATTCAGTGATCCTTGTAAATGTGCAGAGATGGAAGAGCTATTCCTGATCCTCACTGGGTCAATGCAGGGAGAGAGAACCTGGTTTTGGAGTTTGGGACTCACTTGCCATTGGCTATGCTGGCTAAAACTGATGGGGTTGGAACCCTAAAAACCTGGAAGGTGCCAAAACCTAGCTGGGCTGGAGGTGATGGGCAGTTTGTCCAATGAGTACCAGATGCCTTCAGTTTACCTTTAAATCTATTTAGTACAGCACCTTTGACTTCTCTGGGGAGTTGATTGTCACCTTGGCGGCCACTTTTAGAAGGGCTCTGATGGGCTGCAGATTACCCAGTCTTGGCCCAGTTAGGGTGTTGCCCATGAAGAGGGATGTGTTTTGGATCTCTTCCATTTTGGAAGTGGCACCTCCATCTGATGAAGCAATTGCCCTCGGGTCTGCGAAAAAGTCAAAACTCTCTTTCATGTTGTAGCACGGTGTTTCTCAACCTTGGCCACTTTAAGATGACTGGACTTCAACGCCCAGCATTCCCTAGCCAGCCATGCTGGCTGGGGAATGCTGGGCGTTGAAGTCCACCCATCTTAAAGTGGCCAAGGTTGAGAAAGACTGCTGCAGCAGTTTTCAAGTATCAGAGGTGGAAGTTTTGGGGGTGATCAAAGCTGTTCCTCCACCCTTTACAACAATGAAAGAAAGAAGTGCTGGGGTTGAGCTCAGTCTAATGGATACCATGCTCAGACGGAACATCTTCCAACCTTGTAAATGGTTATCTCGTGGTGCCAGAGGAGCGTCTTGACCATCACTTGGCCTTACCGTGATGTTTCATCTGGTCATTGATCAATATAAGTTGATTTGATTTGGCTAGTGGTGTTTACAGGTGCAGTGGAGCTGAACCTTGGTTGATTCCAGGTCTCCTGGAGGCCAAACCTAGGATGAGACCACTGAAAGGTCGGGGAGAAGGGACGTAGCTAGTTAAAGCTTAGTGAAAGTGAGGTAGAGTAATTGAAAGTATCCGGGATTGCTCCATGCCTCAGCTGATCTCACGGTTTTGTCTACCTTGCAGCATGGTTCAGAGCAAAAAGTCATTTTCTAGCAAGACGGGCGGTGACAAATTTGAGAGAGAGAGAGAGAGAGAGAGAGAGAGAGAAGGGTGAGAATTATGTTTCCAACCCTGTGTTTTTTAGAGGCCCAGTAGGCTGAAGATGTCACCAGTATCAACAACAACAACCACATTTTGTTTTCTGTATATTGAAGTTTTAGAAAGGTCCAGACCCAGGAAAACTGGAAAGGCCCCTGGTACCAAAATGAGTTTTCTTGCTTCTGTTTTTCCTTTGGACTGTGGAGGGCATGGAGGCTCTCAGTAGGAGAGAGACTTCCCACTTAGCTGGAGGACGGGTGACCTTATCTAACAACTTCATATTTGTGGTTTTGCCTCTGTGCTCCATAGCCCTACGCGGTGAACGGTTGCATCACTCCACAGAGCAACGTTGATTTTGATCACAGTTTGAGGCGGAGGTGAGCAATGCAAAGGTTGACCGTGGGGGTGGGGGGTGGGTCAAAAAAGTCAAGATGGTGCTTTTGGCTCTTGGCTCCTGGCTCTTTTCTGTGTGCATTGTGACCCCCTAAAAAGGGACAGAGCTTCAACTGCATGATTGTGGCCAGCAACTTGACTTCGTTGATACCCTGGTTGTGGGTCACCTCTCTGGAAGAGGGGTAGGAATGCATTCATCACCTCATTCTTTTCCTCTGGAAAGGCTGAAGCCAAGAATGGACGCTGGGGGTCTCCAGGTGACCAACTGTTCCCCTTTTTCTATTTAATACCACCCCCCCAAATGGCTGAACATCAGGCCATTCAAATTTGACCACACTGTGGCATAGCCCTTTCCAGATGTTTTGCAACAAATTGAAGGGCTCTTCTCCACGGAAATGGAAGACCCAACAAGGGGAAAAGTTGGGTCGTTGAAAATAAGTCATTTTACCGCCAGATTTCAAGAGTGTGGTGGGGAGGGCACAGGGTTTGCTGTGGTCTGTCGATGGCTAGCCTTCATCTAGCATGGCTGGCTGGGGAATTCTGGGAGTTGAAGTCCACCCCCCTTAAAGTGGCCAAGGTTGAGAAACCCTGCTCTTGAGAGTTCTTTATAGCCCTCTTTTCCTCCAGAAGCAATTTTTTTTAGGTTGCAGAATCATTCTTTTAACAAAGGGCTAATCATTTTCCTCCCTCCCTTCTTTGCTCTCTCCCACTACCAGAAATCCAGCTTGGGGGCTCCGGGACACTGCTGTCTTGCAACAGCTGGCCGAGGCCAACGGGATGCAGTTGGAAAAAATGGTAGGCTGAATTGGGAAAGGTCGCAAGCTTTACTCAGCACATAACCAGCATTAGCCCAGCATTCAAAGCTCAGTTACTCGTAACCTTGGCTCGGCTTTTGGTGGCTTAGCCTGTCGTGCAAACGCCAAATAGGGGTGAATTCCCTAACGTGGTTAAGTGCATCGTGTGAGCAAAGGCTTCTACAGATACACTAAACATGTTTAATGTGTTGCTAAAAAGAAAGCGAGAGACCCTCTTCCTCCCCACCCAAGACAGGGAAGGACACAGGCCTCAGATCCTGGCCATCTTCATGGCTCAGCTCAGTGTCCACATGGTGGGTGGAGGGGTGTAAACATCGGCAAGATGATAGGTGCAGCATCACGATCTTGCAGTTTTTGACACACACACATACCCCCATGGACCCTCAGCTCCAACCACGTTGCTTCCCCTCTCCCCCACCCACCCCCTCCCAAATCTCCCCCCAATTGCCCTTCCCGTTCTGCTTACTACTGGAAAAGGAATGGTTTTAGCTTTAGCTGGAGTTTTATGGCTTAATTTTAGCTTGAGTTCTGCCGTTTTCGTTTTTACTTGAGTTTTACAGTTTTCGTTTTCGCCGGAGTTTTACGGTTTAATTTTAGCTTGAGTTTTGCCATTTTCGTTTTCACCGGAGTTTTATGGTTTAACTTTAGCCTTAGTTTTGCAGTCTTAGTTTTTACTGGAGTTTCACAGTTTTCCTTTGAGCTTGAATTTTACTGTTTTGAGTTTTAGCTTGAGTTTTAGAGTTTTAGTTTTACACTTTTACATGTGGTCGTAGCTTGAGTTTTACACTTTGAGTTTTAGATTTAGTTTTACAGTTTTAGTTTTAATCTGGGCAGGAGTATCTGCAGGGGGGTATCCAAAAGTCAAGATGGCAGCCGTGACCATGGGACTGAAGCCTCCATGTGGCTGCATCCTTGACTTCTTGGACAACCACCTGCACGCACCCCTGCCTGAGTGACCCCTCTGTGCAGCCGAATTTCTAGCAGCAACTTTGCCTGGCATGGCAACAGATGCACTCCCTACAACGTATTAATTTGAGTTAGCTTTCACCTAAAAATAAATGCAGCTTCTCTCCTGTATCCTGGCCAGTCCTTCCCCAGCTAGATTCTTTGGAATCCACCTCCTTCCATTGATCTCTAGGGTCTCCTAGTGCGTCCTGGTTCCCCAGACTGGTGGGCCCCAGAAAAGGGGGGCTATTGCAGCCTGGCATCCCTTGCAATCCTATTGCCCAGAATAACCGTAGAGTTTCTGTGCCCAGGTTGACATGCCTGCGAACAACAAGTGCCTTATTTTCCGCAAACGCTAAGTCGCCGTGCCGCTGCCTCCCCGAGGGAACCAGACGGACTCCTTCAGGACGCTGCGGAGCTCTCTTCCTTCTGCAGTGTTTCTTCTGCGCTCTGCTCTCCTGCTTCTGCAGTATTTCTTCTGCTTCTGTCGTGCTGTGCTCTGCTTCCTGTCAGGCCCCTGGGGAAGTCCTCGTGAGGTGATTGGACCTGGTGCCAAGTTAGTCCCTAGCTGGGGAAGAAGACTTTCTGGAAGAACAGCGGTCCAACAGAGATGTTTGGTGATGTTGCTCCTCACCTTTCCTGGTGTAGGGATAGGATCCTTTATGCCTCTTGGGGGTTTGGGGGCTAGAGGCTTGCATTCCTGGACAGATGAGACTCAGGATACAGGGACAACAGTTGTTTGTGCAATGCCTTGACCAGGATGGTCATTCAGCGACCTAATTTGGACGTCATGCTTCAAACTCAGCTTTCCTTCCGGGTTGTTGCAATCACATCGCAAACTGTTTAGATGCATCCCTGCAGCCTTAGAAACAGGGTGTGTTCCCTGGGCACACTAAACAAGAAAGCTCAGTTAACAAGCACATCTCCTCAGTTCACCGTCTGGCTGACAACTGCTCTCTCACCAAGCGTGGTGGTTTGATGGTCCTCCATAATAGCCACTCCTTGGTGGATCCAGAAAGCTGCACATGTAAGCCCGGGCTTGTCACAGGTTTGAGATCCTGGTTTCAGGATGCCTTAAATGTCTGCTGCTTTTGGCTTGAACAACATGGCAAGCCTGCCGAGCTGGGGTAATACATGAGCGCTGGGGATGTGAGGTGGAATCAGCAAGCTTCATTGGTGGTTATGTGCTCGTGCCTTTTGAGAAGGGTTATGGGTTGGGACTTCGGGGATGACAATTTCGGAATAATGCTTTAAGAAGTCTTGGAAGGCGCCGTTACTCTGTTCCCCCTAAATGACTAAAACTTTTGACCAGTGGGAGGGGAGATGAAAATGCTTGTAAACTCCCCCCTCCAGCCAGAAATATTTCTTTCCTTTTTACTTCTTTTAACTACAGAGATGACTCCTACATCAGGCCAACACTTAATCAACTACAGTACAGCAGTGTTTCTCAACCTTGTCCACTTTAAGATGGGTGGACTTCAACTCCCAGAATTCCCCAGCCAGCCATGCTGGCTGGGG